GAGATCATCGAGAAATGAAGCGGCTCTTGGAGAAGGCCTTGGTGATCAAAGAGCGGGAGTTTGGCACGGAGCACGCAGAAGTTGCCCTGACTCTGAACAATTTGGCCGGTGCCTGCGGAGATCTTGGAGATCATCAGCAGAAGAAGCGCCTTCTTGAGAGGGCTTTGGGAATCTTTGCGGCGACTGTTGGGCCAGACCATCCGCATACTCAAGCGGTGTTGGAAAATCTAATTCGATCTCACGCAGACGAGCTGGCATCAGAAATTTGGGCAGCGCTAGGCATGGCAAGTGGATGACTCGCGTGGCCGTTTGGTCGCTGGCCGCTCGAAAAGGCGCCAGCATCAAATCAACGTCATGAACATAACGTGCTGAATTGCGCCCGGGATCATGCAAACTTAAGAATCATCGTCCATTTGAGACACATGGGGTCAGGATTGCGTGGGCGCAAACCCCAAGCCGCCAACCCAAAGCGTTGGATGTGCGGGCTGGAGGGAGTACCAACACCTTGAATTTCTTCGCGCAAAGCCCAATCTATGTGCCGAAGGCCAGTGTTTCTCATAAACTTGGGGTGCAGGCATAGGCCTTGTGGTTTCTCGCCTTTCAGCAGGTTCAAGGATTCGCTGCCGCCTTCCTGGGCCCAGGCATTGCGAGGCAAACTGCTTTCTAATTTGTCATGTTGGGATGTCAAGTGGAGAGTCGAGGGTCGAGGGTCCAAGGGAGTTTACGGGTCATGGGGCTGCGCTTTGTTTGCTTTCTCAGGACAATGCCCGAAAATGCAAGCATGAACTCCGATCATGAAAGCAGGATTTAATCATTTTGTTTCAACTTGTTGTTTGGCATGTAGACGCTAAGCATTTGCTGCCGCCTGTGGTTGCTAGACTGCCTGCCCGGGCAGAGAAAGCTCTCATCGAGGCAGCGCCGCAGTTAGAGTCTGTTGGCAACGTTCTGGACCGTTATCCCGAAAGTCTGCTGCTGGGTTGGGCTTCAGACTACTAAACTCACCAGCCCTTTGTCTCCCTTTCCTGGGATTCAATAACCCTTCCACATGGCCCGTCTCATATTGCTACCTAAGCTAGGTGCAAATGCATACACCGGGAACACTGCGGGATAGCTAAGATGGGCACGCGTTGATCCTCGATGGGATTGTGATTATACCGGCAGCCGAGTTTCTCTTGCATGTGCTCGGGCCGGGTTGTCAGGCAGAGACTCATGTTGAGCAGTGCTTCAAGCCATGAGCCCTGTAGTGAGGAGTTGTGCTCCCATCTTTGGGGCCTCGGTCTTCCCAGCTCGCCTTTAAATCCTAGGGTGTTGGGTTTACAGCTTTATGCAGTCTGGGGTAGCCGGGCGGCACGAGTCCACAGCACAGTCGGCGCCTCGGTGCCTGGCATACGCATAGCCGAGGTGTAAAAAGGCTGTAGGGCTTTAGAGTTTAGGGGTTTAGGGAAGCTTGCAAGAGTCCTGGATGCAGAAGGGATAAGGCTTCCGGGGTTTCGGGTGTGGGGCAGGGCAGCTGTAGGGTTGAGTTTAGGGCCCTTATCGAGTACTTTAAGGTTTAGGGTTTGGGGGCTTAGGGTTTTAAAACTTTAGGGCTTAACCAAGTTGGGAATAATTAGCCCAGGGTCCAGGTGGGCCAGCATACACGGGTAACGTCCTTAGCCCTGAGAGCAACCCTAAACCGAAACAAGGCAATGCGATCTGCCCAGCACAGTAATCATGACAACACGCAGTACCCAATCTTACTACCTGTGGCCGCAAGACAAATAAAGTCTAAGCCGCAACAGGCCCTAAACCCTGCAACCAAATCCTAAACCTAAATTCTCAAACCTAAACCACAGGCCCTGCCTTGAGGACACAATGAACAAACCAGCAAAAGGAACCTTAAGGCCTAAAGCCGAAGTCGGCCGAGCGCTCCATCTCCGGAGGCTGCTCGGAGCGAGCGCGACCAGGACTGTCCTTGAGTTTTGGGGCTTTAGGGTTTCGGGTTTGGGGACTTCGGGCTTTGGGGCTTTAGGGTTCGGGGCTTTAGGGATTAGGGCTTTGGGGCTTTAGGGTTTCGGGTATCGGCAGAGTTTGGGTTCAGAAAAGGATATCTGCGACTTGGGCCTCCAAAGACTGCTCCCATTTTGGGGTTGCTCGTTCCGGTCTCTCTGGGTTATGGGGCTATGGCGGTTTCAAGGCAGGGGTATTGGTGGTATAAGATCCAGGCTAGGGTTGAGGGTATAGGGCGATATCGGGTCAACCTGTCGCCCAAAAAGATCAGGGTTGCTAGGTTCCCTGCGGGTGGGTAAAACAGGACAAGACAGATAAGATATGACTCGCAAGTTGATTGTTAGTTGGTTGTGTGTGTGTTCCCAATTTTTCGTGGAGCACTGCTTTTGTAATCCCGAGCGGCGTGCTTACAGCAAAACGTTTTCATGAGTTGGGCTTGCTTAAGAGGTTCTACAGGTAGAGAGTCGAGGATCAAGCCCGTATCGCTCACAGCTCACAGCCGTCATCCAACCACGGCCGCAGACTTGACTTCGGGTCTTTTCTTCCAGCCAGCTGCATCTGCCGCGAAACTTACAAAACAACGCTCCAGTCATTCTGACGCATTCGGGTTTCCTAGGCTTAAGGATAAGTTTTGTTTCAGGTTTTGATCTGCAGATCCTGCAAGGAATAGGGTAGGGTATGGTAGCTTACGGCAAGCGTGCAAGCCTGACATATATGCCCGGAACAAGGACCCAGCATCCCTGCCGTTGCAGCAATGGGTGTCGGCACGTCTCCTTCCGGAGGCTGTCGGGTTTAGGGCCTAGGCCGTTTATGGTTTAGGGTTCATTTGTAGGGTTTAGGGTTTAGGCTTTTGGGGCTTGTAGCATAGGCCAGAGGGTAGAGCAGCAAGGTTCTGTAGAACGAGGGTTTGTCGGAAGGGGGCTTCCTGCTCTGGTCTTGCTCTGCTGCCACCGCGAAAAGGCTTCTACATGATTCAGACACCTTTGTTGGATCGGGTCCTACGGAAAGGGTCGTTGAAGTTTGGGCGTAGGCTTCGAAGGCTCGGGCTGGTACTTCCGAAATCTTAAAGGGTTTAGGGCTTAGGGTCTCAAACTCAGCACTCAAAGAGGCTTTGAGGCTTAGGGCGTTTGATGTTAGCACCCTACAGACAGAGTGACATTGAGAAGCTCCACTGATGGTTTCGCCAGTGGCTACATCAAGCGTTCGAC